ATTATACAGCAGAGTGTTTGTTTCGTTAAATATTTGTCTGTAAAGCAGAATGTAAAGCAGAATTGTTTTCCTTTATGCTATCGATGCAACAGATTTCCTCTGGATATTTGTCAACTTTAACTACAACAATAACAATTAATAACTCGGTTCGCAGTAGTGCAAAAATGCGTCGAATGATTTTATCAACCTTGAGGAGGTTCGACCTTGTATGTACATTATTATGTAACTTGTAATTTAAAGATACGTTTCATGATGCATTTCTTGTCGAGGTTTGTCTCAAATGTGCAATTTACACGAAGATGTTTGGAACAAAATTTGGAACTTCGTCAAATTCGTTCACGTATGGTTTATGTATCTGTTTATCTGCAACAAACAATTTCCCAAGTCCGCCAGGAGCTATTGCATATCAAGAAGATTTTTCTCAAATGGAATTTACGAATATGTAACAAACACAAGTAATATTATATTTCATTCCTTCCACAAATTATCTAATTATTATTATGTATGATCCACGAAGATAATAAGAACGATATACAGACTTCCTGTTGATTTCAGTTATCATGGTGAACATGGTTGTCTTAAATTTATAGGCAACGAAAAGGAAGGAGAAAGAAGGTGGTTAATTAGTTAGAGAATTTTTTATTAATGCAAAACAAATTGATCGCAGTGACACTGGTGATGATTGTGCTGTGGTGCATCGACGATCTTTTATGATTTATACGGTAATAATAAATCAAAGGTTTCTTTCAATATTTAACAAATAAATAAAGAAAAAATTGTCAATGTGAGCCAACACAAGATGTACCTTTGTGAAATAACTGTCATATATTATAAATCTAGAGTATAAATTACAAACGTTTCGTTATCATTATTGTGTCCTCTTTAAATTCTAGATGTAGTAATCGTCCCAGTGACATAAAGTAAACTTGCTTACTATATCTAGAATATGGTTTATACATTTGAAGCAAACACAATAATGATGTCGAAACGTCTGTAATTTATATTTATGATTTATATTTTGTGTTAGCTCACAATGGTAATTCTTCCTTAATTGATTTCTGTTATAATTTCTTATCATGGTGAACATTGTTGTCTTAAATTTATAGGCAACGAAAAGGAAGGAGAAAGAAGCTGGTTAATTAGAGAATTTTTTATTAATCCGAAACAAATTGATCGCAATGACATTGGTGATGATTGTGCTGTGGTGCATCGACGACTTTTTATGATTTATACGGTAATAATTAATCGAAGGCTTCTTTGAATATTTAACAAATAAGTTAAGGAAAAATTGTCAACGTGAGCCAACACAAGATGTTCCTTTGTGAAATAACTGTCATATATTATAAATCATGAGCATAAATTACAAACGTTTCGACATCATTATTGTGTCCTCTTTAAATTCTAGATGTAGTACTTCTGATTTATAATATAATATAAATTATATACAAACTTACCTTTTTTAATAAAAAAGAGGTAAAAAAAGCGCTAAGCGTTGGTGAAACTGGCCCAAATGGTGCTTCTCATAAAGAATCACCATTTGAGCCATTTTCACCAACGCCAATTACTTAATCGACCATGAAACTGATAACTAATCACGTTTGCTGTTTAGTAGAACTAAT